TTCTCTCTTCTCCCCTTCCACTGCTTTGACGGAACCGCCAAACAGAGCAAGCAAATCTTGCCCACTCGAGAGAGTGGATTCAGCTCGCCCATGCGGGCAAGGAAAACCTTGTTGAGTCAAACTAGCGTGCCGGGCAAAACCAGTTTTTAATTCTGTTGCCAAACAGGGATCCTAGCTGAGCGAGGCAAAATAGGAACGGACAAGACACGTACTTTTGACTTTGAATCGAGTTGTAATAAATAAAATAGAAAGAACCCGGTCAAGAAAGTGTGATCGTGGGCCTCATTTTGTGGAAAGATGAGAAAGAAACGGGCCGCAGCTCCTTCTGAGAACGAAGGCAAGGCATGTAGCCCAGCAAGCTTGCTTTGGTTGTCTCTTCAAGCTCTCTGTTCATATTAGGTAAGACTAAGACGTACACTTTTTTTGATTACGGAATTAAAGATTCCAGCCTTCATATTCACCACTGAATGCTTATGGCTTAAACTTACAAGAAAGGGACTGAGCCCAAGTTTCCGCTAGGCGGGCAAACCTAACAAGTTTCCGCTAATCGGACTAACCTGACAAACACAGGTGACCTTACATCAGAAGGCAACAAATCAAAATGTCCAAAGGTCGACTGAACCCCAACGAGACAAACTTGACAAGTTTCTGCTAATCGGACTAACCTGACAAACACAGGTGACAAAACAAGATGTCCAAAGCTCCACTGAACACCAACCAGGCAACACTAAACTCCCAGCTTCAAGAGAAGGCAGATCAAAACACACAGGCATTAAACTCCTATCCTCTTTAGATTCTTCCACTCACTGGAACCAAAAAGTTGTAGTGCCACGCCTTCTAAACGTCTACATCCCTCTTTCATCACTCTTCCCTCTTCCTCTTTAGACAGCAGTGACCATTGCCTGATCCAAAAAGTTCTCCTGAACATTACCTGCAAGTGAGAATTAGTAACTAGTTTTTGGAACACCGCATCATTTCTATTCAACCATAAGACCCAACAAATAGCCGCTACTCCCACTATTATTTGGTTTCTTAGCCCTGGAGCAAATCTCCTTATCCAAGATTCAAACATATGAGAAGTACTTTTTGGTGGTTGAAAGTTAAAGGTGATAAATAGCGTATTCCAAACAAATCTAGCCACACGGCAATTGAAAAAAAAAGATGTTGAATATTTTCATCCAAACCACAGAAATCACATTTAGGATCACCTTTCCATCTCCTCTTCACTAAATTACCTTTTGTTAAAATTACCCCTCTTTTTAAGTACCAAAGGAAAATTTTAATTTTCAATGGCAGTTTTGCTTTCCAGAACATTTCTTTTCCTGACAGTTTCTCCCTTTTCATGATCTCTCTATACATCGACTGTCTTGAAAAAAAATCTATTTTTCTTTATATGCCAAATAAAGATTTCTTTATCATAATTTAGATTTACCGGTAGCACTAGCGAGACTAGCTTAAGCCACTCTTTCAGTCTCTCCTCCACTATTTCCTGTCTGAACGAGACATTCAGCGGAGTCGAACTAAGTACGCTGGCTACCGAAACCCCTTTTTTTCCTTACTATCCTCTACATACCCGAAAACAGCCGCATTAGCGGTTGCTGATCAACCCACACATCTTCCCAAAATATTGTTTGGTGACCATCGTTAACCCTGAACCTTCCCTGTTGTAGTAACAATTCCTTCACCTCCATCAAACCTGACCAGAAATGTGAATCTTCGGGGCGTTTTTCTATATGAGACAAGCATTTATCTTTGATGTATTTCTTTTTAAGTACCTCCTGCCATAGGCCATCTTCATTAAAAAGTTTGAACAACCATTTACTAAGTAAACACTTGTTCTGAACTTCTAAATATAATATCCTGAGTCCCCCATGCACCTTAGTTTACAGAGTATACTCCATTTTGCTAACCTGTACTTCTTTTTGTGTTCATCACATTGCCAGAAAAACCTGGATCGATAGTAATCCAGTCTTTTTCTTACCCCTTTAGGGATAAAAAAAAACGACATCATGAACATCGGTAGACTAGACAAGACCGAGTTAATCAACACTAATCTACCCCCTGAGGAAAGAAGCTTCCCTTTTCAACTACTAAGTTTCTTCTGGAAGCGCTCTTCTATTGAACTCCAATGTTTGTTTGAGAGTTTTCGATAGTGCATTGGGATCCCTAAGTATCTGAAGGGAAAATTTCCCTCTACACAACCGAAAAGCTCCACATACTCCTTGCCCCGGTCTTTAGCCGCCCCAAAACAAAACAGTTCACTCTTATGGAAGTTGATTTTCAAGCCTGACAACTTTTCAAAGGCTACCAGCACCAGTTTAAGATTTGTAGCCTCCTCTAAATCATCTTCCAAAAGCAAAATCGTGTCATTTGCATACTGCAGAATCGACAGCCCCTCATCAACTAGGTTAGGTACCAAGCCTCTAAACTGACCACAACTTTTTGCTCTCGAAACGAGGATAGCCAACATGTTTGCGACCAAATTGAAAAGGGTAGGTGAGAGGGGGTCCCCCTGTCTCAGTCCTTTTCTGGTCTGGAAGTTATGGCCGACCTCCTCGTTCACTTTGATCCCCACGCTTCCTCGATTCATAACCTCTTCGATCCAATTGCACCAAATAGGTGAGAAACCCTTCATCCTAAGAGTCTGTTGCACAAAGGACCAATTGACTTTATCATAAGCTTTTTTGAAGTCCAATTTTAGTATGACCCAATTTTTCTTTTTTTTTGTGCAGTTCATGAATTATCTCATGCAATATCACAACTCCTTCCAGAATATTTCTTCCCGGCATAAATGTTGTTTGTGATTGGCTCACTACTTTGTCTGCCACAACAGTTAGCCTGTTAGCCAATACCTTAGTAAATATCTTGAAGCTCACATTGAGCATACATATAGGCCTATACTGCTGGATTTGTTTGACTTCCTTTTGCTTTGGAATCAGAGTAATTGTACCAAAATTCAGATTGAACAGAGGTAATTTACCAGCATGGAACTCTCTAAACATGGCCATTAAGTCATCTTTAATGAGAGACCAAAAAACTTGGTAAAACTCTGCCGGGAAGCCATCAGGGCCTGGTGGCTTATTATGTTTCATTTGAAAAATCGCTTCTCTTACCTCTTTTTCTGTAAACTCTTCTATTAACAATTTGTTTTCTTCCTCATTAATCTGAGGTATATCATTTATTTGTGATTCATCAAGAGAGAAGTTATTTCTCTATGATGACCCAAACAAATCTTTATAATATTTTGTTATAAAAACTTTTAAGTTTTCCTGTCCTTCAATTACTTCCCCTTCTTATTCAAGCTGAAAAATCCTTGTTTTCCTTCTTTTTCCGTTGGCCACCATATGAAAATATTTAGTATTGTTGTCCCCTTCTAGCATATCCTTAGTCTTTGCTCTTTGGAACCACTTGATTTCTTCTTCTCGAAGCAATTGTGTGATTCTTTCATTCACACTTTGCTTCAGGTCTAGCTCTTGCTGGCTCAATATCTGGGACTCTGCTTTTATATCCAGATCCCCAGCTAGCCGAAACAACTCCTCCTTTTCTTTTCTAAAATTTCTGTTCACATTTCTTGCACATCCTCTCAAAAATTGCCTTAACCTCCTAATCTTATTCTGCCATTTCTTCATTGGGGTAGATCCATAATCTACACTTCTCCAAATCCTCGTGAACGTCTCAAAAAATCCTTTTGAAGGAACCAACTAAGTTCAAATTTGAACTGAGGTTGGCTACTTCTTTGCACCCTCTCACCTGTGCAAAGCAGAAGGGGAACGTGATCGGAGATTTCCCTATTCAATGCATCAACAGTAACTAGGGGGAATTTTCCTTCCATTCTGTGCTGGCTAGTACCCTATCTAATTTTTCATAAGTTGGAACATTTTTGGAATTGGCCCAAGTGAATTTTCTTCCCGACATCTCGATCTCCCTTAAATTTAACCCATCTATGATGGCATTAAATAAAAAGGGCCATCGGCCATTGTAGTTATCATTATTTTTCTCACTTGGATTTCTGATTATGTTAAAGTCTCTGCCAACCAGTAGAGGAAGAGAGACTTTCCTGCACGCCTGTACTAATTCAGTTAGGAATTTCTCTTTAAACTCTGGTTGAGCTGCCCCATAGACCGCTACTAAGCACCAGTGAAAGTCATCACTTCTATTTCTGAGGTGAAACTTGATAAAGAAGTCACCCTCCTTGATACTTCCAACATCGCAAACATCTAGATTCACTCCTAGTAGCATATCTCCTAACCTTCCATGGAGTTCAGTCCAATGCCACACAAAATTCCTCCCCCCACAGTACCTATCAATCTTAGCTTGTGTAAAATTCTTTTTACCGGTTTCCAGGAGAGCAATGAAATCTAGTCCCTGCTCCCTTGATGTGTTACTCAGAAATTTGGTTTTAGCCAAGTCGCGCAGACCTCTGCTATTCCAGAAAATTCCCCTCATTTCGCACTAATCTTGTTAATCCTTATCTTCATCTTTCTCGAAGCCCTCTTTCGTGATGACTTAGCGTCGGGCTTCCTTTGAACGGTTTTAAGATCACTACTTAGGTGATAACTATCATCGTCGAAGATTTCTTCCATTAGATTCTGACACAAAAATTCTAGTGTTTTCCTCTCAAAACCCTCTAATTCAACGGAATCAACATCCGAAAACTCTGCCTTCTCTGTCCCTAGAACAGAACTAGGCCCTCTAGAAACAAAATCCCCTTCCACTAAGTTCTGGACGTTCATTTCAAAAGAACTACAAATATTACTGCCCACCCCTAAGCCTAACATCCGTAGATTATCCACAGCCTTTGAAATGGATGAAAAATAAGAGGGGTCCGTGGATTTGTTACCTTTGTTGCACTCCAGATTCCTGGACTGCACCAAACGCTCTGCCCGCACCAGAGTGTGTTCAGCCGCCACACCAGCCAGTCGCGGACTCATCCTGGTTGGGGAGAGCACGACCTCTGGAATCATCGCAGCACCCACCAGCTTTGCATCAGCAAGACCATCCTAGGCCACCGTCATGCAGCGTCCCTTTCCTTCTGCCTCCGCACCCACCTCTGGAACTTTCTCCAACTCTTCCATCTGAGATACAGCTGCACCCTCTTCCACCTCCATCGCCTGCACCTCTTCTTTCGTCCCAACAGAGAGGATACCAGTGAAATCAGGTGTCACCTCTTCTTCCATCTGTTTACACCAAAATTTGGGAGAAGGAACGCGGGAAACTCTCAGGCTTCCAGAGGTATGCCAATCAAGGAGTCGATGGAGTAAAGGTTGATATCTGCTGGATCGAATGTGACACTGGATCGATTCTTTCCGAATGACATCAGCAGATGACGATGATGGGATATGACTGGCGTCAAAAGGATACATGCTGGACTATACAAAAAGGGAAAAATTAGAGTCCAAGTTATCTTAAATTAGGAATGTTTTCGTTTTTTATGCCAAAAATTGTAATAAATCGTGCTAGAATAGGATTCATGTCTGGGCTCCGGGTATAAATATCAAACCCCGGCCATTGTAAAAAAGGAACCAATCAATCAAATACAAGTCAATTACTTTTTTGACTCCGGCCACCCCTTAGCAGTAGGAGTAGAGTAGATCTCGGCGAGTTCTTCAGCAAGTACGGCTGCATCGATCCGGTCGACCTCCACTGCTTGTTGTAAGTACCGTCATGGTTTATACCTCTGTTCGTATGGCTGCATCGATCCGGTCGACCCCCACTGCGACTCTGGTATATGCTAGTTATCGACTCTTGCCTAGTTCAAGTATGACCTGTGTGATTCTGCCTCACACCCCACTGCTTGAACTAGATCAAGGTCAAGTTATCGGCTCTACCTTTGAATCATAGTCTTTGATAGATTCATTAAGTTACCGATATTGCTCATTGCTTTTATTGTTTATCTAATTACAACAATATTACTCTGCCCGATTGAGATTGATCTGGATCGGCCTTATACCTTATTTAACCCATCGTTTGCTAATCTAAAACTGATCTAATCTACATCTTAAACGATAAGTTATGTTTTTATCGGCAGTTTTATATCAATCTTAATCGTGCATAGTGTGTGGTTAAGGCATGTTCGATCTTGAGTAGATCTATTGGCTAGCGAGAACCGTTCCATGGCCTGTTATCACGGCCTATGGAATTCTGCCTCTCACCCCACTGTTAGCACCGTGGAGTGGGGATCGTTAGTTGATAGATCCGTTCCTAAGAAGGCATGACCTTAACTGTGCGCTATGCCTGAATCGGCTGTTTAGCTGATATCGAATGCTTTCACGAACAATCCACATCACGAGATCATTGAAGTAGAGATAAGTTGAGAGATATGTTAGTCCCATGATCTTATTATTGTATTACGGCCTGCATAATTCTGCCTCTTGCCCCACTGATATTAGTAATGAGTTAGGGTCGTCGAGTCTATTGTTGTTTCTACGGCCTGCATGATTCTGCCTCATGCCCCACCGGTCATGGTGATAGATGAGATCTAACATGTTCATTTGATTTATCTTTATTAAATGGTTAAGTGGTGTTGAATTGTTTCTTTATACAAAAAGGGGTTCGATTACTTATAATCATTGGCTCAGTATAAACCAATCATCATCGACATCTTATTGCCATTGATTAAATTATTGCTCGAATTATATCTATCTTGGATGATAACCAATTCTTCTTATACAACCCCATGAGCTTTAACTGATTTATTCTTATGAATATGCCGGAATCGACTATTTAGCCGATCTCCTCTCATATCGGCTTTCGGAGCCGCACATTCGGGACTGTCTGGCAACACCGGCATGTTCCGCACTTAATTACTGATAAACTTTCTCTCCTTGTCAATTGTAGGGTCAAATTGACTGGCACGTCTCGGGAGGATCGCGTAGGATCGACCACCCTTGCGTTGAAGCTAGGCGGATCTGCTCCATCGAGCGGACCCTTCCGGCTTGCTGCGTGTGTCCTCGGCACGGGATGAAATTCTGTGTCGACACACGTTTCTGGCACGCCCGGTGGGACACCACAATCGTCATGACGATTCACAACAACGACAACATCCTTATGGTACATTATGAAGACCTACCTGATGAAGATAAGGATACCATCAACAAAGCCACAGAAGAATTTTAGAAGAAGTGTTTGCTGTCCTACATCAAAACACGTGATAGCACCATTATTCGAAAATTTCCACTACCAAGAGTTCTACTACACGGACAGACAGATGCAGTCGAAGCTGAAGACAGGCGTTTCTTTGCGGAAGCCATAGACAAATCTGTTCGTGATGCCCTATCAAGCTGCAATGAAGCTTTCGTTAATGCATTTCACAACGCCATGAAAGAGGCGATCCATGAAATTCCAGTTGGCCAGGTTGGATCGACTTGTTACAACATTCCAGATTCGTCAACCCAAAGGACTAATCAAGTCGGTACCAGCCATCAAGGAGCAGCACCAGTTGGTGATAATGACGTCCAGACACTTCAAGGTTCATCTGAACAAGCTCAAGATACTACTACAAATCAGACACAGTACAGTACTGGACCGTCGATACAGCATGTGCAACAGCCGGTGGGGCAGAATCAGAACCAGATGATTAATTTCGGCACATCAGGCCACATACCGTCGTTGGCTTAGAAAATAGCACCATCAATTCAAAGAATCCGTAGAGATATAGATCCTCATGTCTACAATCAGAGGCTCTAGGCAGCAAGCCAGCAGAGGACCCAATAGATTGAGATTCCAAAAGGGTATCACTATGGCACAGATTATAACACTCTTCACATGATACCAAATCCAGGATATCAGGGCACGCAGGATTTCAATCCACAGATGGGTCAGCAAGTACCAAGAAATCCAAATCCGCAAGCTGACGAGTTGCTGCTGAAGGTGACCGAGATGATAAAGGATCAGTTCGGTCTAAAGTCAAAAGGGCTGACCTTTTCGTACAAACACCCATATCCAGAGTGGTATGATTTGGCCGCTCTTCCTACGAATTATAGGCTCCCAGAGTTTGCCAAGTTCACTGGTCAAGACAGTACAAGCACGATAGAGCATGTCAGTCAGTATCTTACACAATTAGGCAAAGCATCAGTTGAGGATGCCCATCGAGTTCGTTTCTTCTCCTTATCCCTATTAGGGCCAGCTGTCACTTGGTTTTCGTCCCTACCAGTCAACTCCATTGCCAACTAGGCTGACCTAGAGAAGAAGTTTCATACATATTTTTACACTGGGACAGGAGAAAAGAAGATAACTGATTTGACAACCATGAGACAGAGGACTAATGAATCGGGCACTGAATTTTTTCAGAGATTCCAAGAAACTAGGAACTTGTGTTCCTCGGCACCAGACGAAATTCTATGTCGACACCATCCCAGCAGAGAGGACACCAGTGAAATCAGGTGTCACCGAAGCCCCCTCCCAAGCCCCCTCCTTCTCCTCCATCACCTTTGTGGCTGCATCCTCCAAAACCTCATCCACAACTACCTCGATCACCTTGCTGGCCTTCCAATTAAGAAACTCCAGAAACCCATCTTCACTCAAAAAGTGTCCCTTATTAGCTGAAGCCCCCATCTCAGACTGAGAATCATTCCTTTTCCCCTCCCCACTGTCTCCCCCATCATTCCCTTTAGCACGCTTGTTAGTCCTCTTGTTTGATTGGTCATCATCAAGACCGTTTTCGCTGTTCGAACCCTGCTTCTTCCCCTCTCCTTCCCCCTCATCCTCTCCACCATCCCACTCAACGTTAGCCTCCTCTCCGTTCTCATCAAAACCTCTCTTCTCAACTTCAAACTCCAAGTCAAAATAGTGGTCACCAATAACTACATCCAGCTTCCTTGGAATCAGCTTAGGATCAAGTACAGCGACCAAGATTCGACCAAACTTGTTTTTCCGTGTGGTCTCCATGTTCACTGTTTGAGTCGAACCCAACAGGGACCCCACTGCCCACAAAATGAGAAACTCACGCAGCGGCTGTCTGATACACCTCACCCTCACCCAGACCTTAGGCAACAAAAAAAAGCTTCTTCCTTTTCTTGCCATTCCTCGAACTGCAACCAAGTACCAGCTGGCACTCCCTCTCCCTTCGCATCAGCCCCTCCATAAGCAATCGAACGTTGTAGCTCGGTCTTGGAAGGGAACTGGGTAAGGAATTTACCTTCTCCAAGATCCTTTAGCTCCCAATTCCATTTAACTGGCACAACCCTCTTTAGCTGCATGATCAGTTGGTCGCCTGACAGAGTACCCCCAACTACTGACACTCGAGCCATCTTGGAATCCTTCTTCACCCTGGGCAATGTCGGATGAGGGATATGATAGAATCCCAAACCCATCACAGCATAACCCGCAGCATGAGCCACAGGCCTCGGCGCCTTGAGGAGAGGACATCTGTGATTCATGTGATCATGCGAGTCACAAATCACACAGTACACCTCCGCCTTACACACTGTAGCCTGATGTCCCTTCTTTGAACACTTGGAGCATCTTCCACCCATCTTGACAGCCTCACCACTCTCCTTCCCCCCGCCAAACTCCGCTGACAGGCCGAGATCGTTGTCAGACCCCATCCCATTATCCTCTCCGAACCCTGCACCAACTGCTTCAGCGTATGAGTTCATTCATAGATGCGAGCGTGCGTGCGTGTAGGCCTTCATAAACGAAAGTTAGCCAAGGCTCATTTGGTCCTTCTGTTCACAAAAGATAAAATAAGCAACTTCTAAACAAGTTCATTTGGTTAATAGCATTGGCCTGGTAAACTATATCTGGACACTTTTTTGGGCGAACAAGTTGCCTCTCTTGTTTTTCCGAGGAAGAAGAAGCTAAGATAGAGGAAGAAGTTGTGCTTCCCTTTGCAGAATAGAAGAAATGCTACTGTATAATATCTGGACATCGTCACTAGTTGATGCTAGTGCTACGGTCTAATTAAGGAGCATTACATTGTCCACACATGCGTCCGTCGGTGGGATTAGCAAGAAAGATTGGATGCCACCGTGCAATTAGAATCTGTCTAAAACGGCAATTAGCACCTGATCTGATTACATAAGTACTTTTTTTATGCATGATTACAGAAGTACTTGGCAACCATGGAAATGCCATGTGGCCGTGCCCTATATATCATCATCTGTGGAGATGGTCAGATGGAGTAGAGAGAACAGAGAAGAGAGGGAAAGAGAGTTGTGAATGAATGATTGTCGGTCGTACTAAACAACAGTGCATATGGTTTTGGTGAGGGGTTGTTGAGTAGGGAGGCATGCATGGCAGTCAGAGATGACACTACTCCTTTTTTTGCTTGTCCTTGCATTGTAGCCTTGTAGGTAGTCGGTCCCTCCTTGCCTTTTGTCCATCTTTTGACTTCAGAGCACCGCCACCAGTGCTCTGTGTTCACTGTTCACTGTGGCTGTGGTTTGTGGATGCTGCCATTCCTTCCAGCCGAGCTAGCTGTCGATCGAGGGATGAATAATCCAACATCTCATTATCTCATATCATCCCAGCTCCTCGTACCAGCCAATTAAGTGGAGACTTCTTTTTTACTCCTACAAGATATACAGAATCAGAATCAGTACGTGAAAAAAGTCAACTCGTGCAGGCATGACATGCATGCATGCTAGTACTATATAACCCATGAAAAATCAACCAGTCGTGGTAAAATGTCAATTTCATTCCCATGCCAATGGACGCCTCCTGTAAACCTCAAACATTCCACATCACATCGCATTCACATATAAAGAGAGCCAAATTAAAGAGCACAGTACCCCATATGGCCCACACATACCATACCAACAAGTTCAGTGACACAAAGTGTTCAACTAATATGTGCCTTGGCAGCCACTAATGATGCATATACATACATAATCTCACTCTTAATTAAATGTACCGAATGAATCTTTATTTCAGACTTTCAGTACATGCCTCTCTATCCATCCTATCGAGGACCAAAAAAAAAAGTACCTGCAAGGCCAACGACAGCATCATGTGATTGCTTGTAACGGTCGTACTCGTCCTGAAGCCTCTTCTTGGACGGACTTGTGCATGAATTTAAGCAAGTCCGTCTGATCCCGGACTCTACTCTTAATTAAAATAGCTGGAATACTAAATAGGTGATCAACCCGAATCCTCCTTCCATTCTATCTCAAATTTGGATCGAATTGACTGTAGTATGTGTTATTTCATACTCCTACTGGTTAACTATTTGCAGGCAGCCTAGGCCACTAGCTGAGTTAGTTTTATCAGAGGAGATGATTAGCAACACTGCGTCCTCATTCCGTGTTAAAATTAGGGTTATTTTGATCCATACCATTACAATTTTTGCGTTTTTAAAATATACCATTACTATTTGTCTATTTCGAAACTTACCATTACAATTTTGTCTCTACCTCATCCGTGCCATTTCTAGGTTTGAAACCATAACGGGACCACCTGCAGGTCACTGTATTTTCATATGACCTAAAATACCCATGTCATTTTTTCTCTCCATGCTCGACCTAGAGGGCCCACGTGTCATCCTCTACTCCTTTCTTCCTCCGTCCACTGGTGCTTTCACTTTGCACAGGCACGCCATTGTGTGTTCACCAAAGCGATCGGGGGCTGCTCTCGAGCTCACCAAATTTCGACACCACGCAAGCATAAGGGGAGGCCGGATCGGAGGCCTAGGTGCAAGAGGCGGCGGCGAGCCCACGACGTCGGAGGGGATCATGTTGCAGGCTGCCGTGCGCGAGTGCCCTCCGCCAAGCAAAGCCTTCTTCCCGTCGTCAGCAGCGAGAGCTCACTACCGTGTTCCTGGCCTGTTGCCAAAGAAGCGGATCCAGCAGCGATGGTGGCGAACGCATTCCGATCCATGCACGCCAGCGGGCCTGAACTTCGGGACGGAGAGCTTCGGTGCCGGGCGAACACAAAAGCGAGCATGCGAAGATGAGGCATGGGATCGGTTGAGGGCGTGCGACACCTCCTGTCTCTATCCCTGTTCGGTGCTCGTGCTTGCCATGGAGCGGGTGAGGTCGTGCTTGCCATGTCGCTCACGAACCAGCTATGTGAATCCAAATTGCCGCTCGTGCTTGCCATGATGTCCAAAGCAAGACGGGGGTGAGCCAAAGCTAAGCAAAGGCGTCTTGGCGCAAGGCATGGCCAAGGGCGGCATGGGTGGGGAAGAAGCTGTTCTGGAGGAGACGGGAAAGGAGGAAGGAGATGGCTAGTGGGGTCCACACGTCAATGATTTATAGAGAAAGGAAGGTGGAGGGGGCAGTTTTGTCCATATAAAAATACGATGATGCAGTGTACGTCTGCAAGTGGGCCTAAATCCTTTCCAAGTGTATACCGTGGCATATTTCAAAGAGGGGAAGAATTATAATGGTAAGATTCATAATAGGTGAATAGTAATGGCAGTTCTCGAAACTTTAAAAATTACAGTGGTAGCAATCCAAATAACCCTTAAAATTAACAACATGCTGATGATACACACATGACTTTACTCATGGCAAGGACTTCCGGCTATTTTTCCAGGTTAGCTGTACTTCTTTTTGTTGTCATTTGTTATTCCTGTCGTTGCCGAGACAGAAAATTGTCTTCACAGGTTGTGCCTGTCCTTTGGCTGCTATCTGTTATCAGCAATTTATGTTCGTCTATCACTCTTACTTACATAGGCATGTCCTGCACAGATCATACTTTACACTTTGCGCCTTACATTTAGGAATAGACAGTACCAAAGGACAGGCAGAATCTTATACGTATCTGCTTTGTCTTCAGTTCATTTGTAACACCCCAGGTCTGGCACACGGCCTAGGCCCACTCTGCCGAGGGGTGGGCCCCACCTCCGTAGCAACCCGCTTACGCTTTCGTCCTCGCTTCGCGCAAAACGGCTAATCGAAGGTTACTACGCGTCCTTGGTCAGGTTATTTAAGCTGGTTCGGCGAATTCAGAATTCACGGTACAGTACTAAACATCTGGCTGCACAATGTTTTTCGTAGCTGCAGTAACTCGGTGCTACAGTACCCGAATTCAACCTAGCCCAATTCAACGCTATAGCTACAATGCCCGGCCCAACCGCAATTCGGTCCATGAGCTGGGTCTCACATCCACCCACCCTCAATGGGTTCGACATCCTTGTCGAGCTATCGAACCAGCTTACCCATACGGGACAAATGCTCATGATCGACTCTCTTGGTCACGTTCATATTTCCAGTTCCCCAGCCTAGGTGTCATGCCCTCTCTCGGGAACCATGCACAGACTATCCAGGCTTCCAGACCATACGCATCGGGAAACCGTGAGAGTTGGCTCTGATACCATTTGTAACACCCCAGGCCCGGCACACGGCCCAGGCCCACTCTGCCGAAGGGTGGGCCCCACCTCCGTAGCAGCCCGCTTGCGCTTTCGTCCTCGCTTCGCATAAAACGGTTAACCGAATGTTACTACGTGTCCTTGGTCTAGCTATTTAAGCTGGTTCGACGAACTCAGAATTCACGGTATGGTACTAAACGTTTGGTATGCTACAGCAACCCGAATTCATCCCAGCCCAATTCATCGTTATGGCTACAGTAGCCCGGTCCAACCGTAATTCGGCCCATAAGCTTGGTCTCACAATTTTGTCTGAATTTCATTGCTGATTTTGTTACAACACGTGCATAACAGGAACCATGCATTGCTTTGGTTACAATACCTGCATTATTCAACAAATACGAGGGGTATGTCGAGGTACGCTGGGAGGTCCTCCGGAACATATCGAGGCATTACAAGATAGTTGATGAGAATGTGATCAGTAGTAACAAACGAGCTTTATCAGAGATTAAGAGGACTGATACTCGAAAACGTGAGCTCGCCAAAATAGTGAGTAAATTGGCATCACTGGGAAGAACACACCATCTATAATTCAGAGGTTGAGTGTGTCACAAGGGACTAACCATATAATGGGAAAGAGATGCATTCTAAGACCAACCATAATGGGAAAGAGATGCATTCCAGGCAAAAACAGCTATTGAAATCTCTGAACTGATATCATAGGCCAATTTGATGCATGCTCCCTTCTCTGATTTAGTACAGAAACTTGTAACTGTCTGCCGACAACCGAAGCGCTCAGTAGCACATGGTTACTCTGACTGATGCACCGATAGCCCAACAACCTAATCATAATAAGAGACCACTTTGAAGCTAACAAAGAAAAGGACCCAGTCTTATAAGGATGAGTATGAATTGAAGACAGCATAGCAGTATATGTCATCTCAAGCAGTGATTAAATGCTAAGAATAATGTCAGAGTGGGAAAGCATTCCATTAATCAGTGCTTGAAGCACATTGTCCACGTACAAATCGTCGGTGGGATTAAAAAAGATTCGATGCTGCATAATGTCTCTGAGTCCCACAGCTTGATTTGTCATTAGGACTAAACAACATGGTTGGTGCGGGTACTACGCGGTGGTTGAGGCTGGCACAGCATGCTACATTTCTTGCTCGTGTCTGCATGTAGGTAGGGTAGGGTAGGCCCCTGGTGGTTGACTCGAGTTTCAGACTCAGGCCTTGTTTAGTTGGCCAAACTTGAAAGGTGCAAAGTTTGCACAGTGCAAGATTCTCTACTGTAGCATTTCGTTTGTATTTGTGAATTATTGTTAAACATTGACTAATTAGGCTCAAAAGATTCGTCTCGCAAAGTACAATCAAATTGTGCAATTAGTTTTTGATTTCGTCTACATTTAGTACTCCATGCATGTACCGCAAATTTAATATGACGAAGAATCTTCTTTTTTTATAGTGCACTTTTTAGGAGTTCGTGAGAAACTAAACATGGCCTCAGTGCACTGCACTGCAGCATTCCCAGTAGAATGTAAAGGCAGCCGACAGGAACAGTGTTACTTGACGTGCTTGCTGTAGCTAGATGTTGCTCTTCTACTTTCCCTGCTGATGAATTGCAAGCAGAACCATAGAAGAACCACCAAACTGCTATCGTCCTTGTACACTGCAGACTGCCCAAGATGCATGTGCATCTTCACTCCACTCATGCAAAGTTCCAGACAGGTTAACCCGTCCCTGAGAGTATATTCGCACGCCACGTCAGCTACAGTAAATGAACAGTGTTGATCAGGCTGAACAAGCACGTCATACCTTCCTGTTTGTACTGCATCATCATCATTTCAAACACCAAAAGACAGCTTTATTCCATGTGCAGAACCATGCAAGCAACAAAGATTCCAGAACATTCATCAGTACCATGACTGCAGTCATTTTAGTCTCTAACTGATTGTGACAAACTTCAATCTAGGAATGACTGCAGAAAGAATAGGCTAATTACTAGTATTTGGTGGTGGATCAAAATCAGAGCTTCCTTGTGGTTATGCGAACATTCAGTGCATTTATCGTTAACATGACAATTACAACGCACACCTTACAACTAATACGTGCCTTGCACTCTTATACATGGACTGCTATTCAGGAACAAATACTACTGGTTGCACGGCTTCTTCTTGGACTTGTGCAGGAAGCCAACCCGTGCCTGATCCTGCAGGGAATCATGTGGACCACCATTCGGTTGCAACTACTGATACAGATCTTACCATCAGCTGGTGTACAATGCAGTAAATAATGGTACCCATTGTCCAGCCAGCAAGCATGTTTCCCTGGCCTCTTTTCTTCTCTGCTGCTCACTATTCATGCTTTTCAGACTGAATGTACCAGGCAGAATAGTTTTCTGAAAATGCAAAAGCAAATTAGATTCACACCGCATATATTATATTATACCACTTGACAGCCAAGCATTATCATTTAGACCCCACAGGGATAGGACAGGATACTCCATAAAGCAAATGTGAGCACAGGATTTCACCTAACCCTTCCTTTTGGTCTTTGGAGCCACTCATTTCTTGGTACGCTTAAAGAAGGAATGCAAAAAGGGCCTATGATTTATAGCACCGAGTAGGGTCATTTTAAGATACCAAACCAAATTAAAGATAGAATGTGTTGATTTATGATATTACCTCTAGGCACTTCCATCAAATTAAATGCTCATAGTGCTCCCAAACAATTGCTATAGTGAGGATCTGCCCTACTCTTTTTTTGGATGGCAAGTGTGGAAAGGAAGGCAAACAAAAGGCAAGGCTAATCATTGATGGTGCGTGTTTGCACAACTCAACGTTTTTCAGCAGATGTTTTTAAAGGAATTCACACCGCACTGTCTTCAAAAGTGACACATTCGTATCTCACTTATTTTTGTTGATGCACTGATAGGCCAATATGATGGGCCCCCTTTTATTTGGACAAAAGTTTGTAATGGTTGACTCAGAATTACTGAATTAATCTGTAGTATGCACACATGTGGCTTGTGCAAAACATGTAGCTTTCCAGTGTATTCTTAAAAAAAGAAGAGCGACTAACTGTGTATCTTAAAATAGAATGCTTAATTTACTCTAAGTTTATGCATAGATAGGCCAAATTGATCATAACAAATTCCCCCTTTTAATATGAATCCTGCCACACAATAAAAAGGACCACAAGCCGTATCGTGTGCCTCACAGCAATGCTTCATATTTTTAGGTAGGGAGAAGGGGGCCGTGTCAAACATAAATCATTTACTAATGTACTGTGTTGGGCAGAACAGACAATTTGCAGAGATAATTCCTTCTTAAGAATTCTGGAAAGCTGAAAGTGTTAGTTCTCAGGGAAATAAAGACTCTGCGCATATTGGTTTACTAGAGTATAACCAGAAATAGAGGATTATGATGATTTGAATTCAAACATTAGTGATGTTTGCATTCAGGAGCTTAATAGCTTTAGATTAATAATTATTTATGCTAGGCAAGGATGCATGCTGGCCATCAGCCCATCACCTTTTTTGTTGCTTGAGATGCACTCATTGGTCTTTTGGAGTTGACACACTCAGTAGTGTTTCAGTCCTTTGTTTATTCATTTAGTTGGTGTGAGTGGATTGGTGCAGCCGTCGGTGACACAAATAAACACTTCTACATTCTGATATTCTAAACTTTTTGCTTCATTTTTTTTTGGAAAAAATACTAGTGACAGGTAGATAATATCTGGAGCACACATGAGACTCATCTATAGATGATTTTGCAAATTCAGACAGTATAACCATAGTACACCGATGTATACACACAAACTTTCTATTTCTGATTTCCGTACAAGGGCTATTCTAACTACTTTGACCTGCAAAAAGATTTCATCTCTACAACAACAGTCCAAATAGTCCGACACTACCCCCCTTTTTTGTGGTTAGCCCAAGGGTCAGTGCTCGGGTTGCTTGAGTATCACTACTTTTTGTAGAGCTGGACCATATAGCCATGTGCAGGTGTGTTGCTAGCAGCATTGCCATTGTACAGACTCGATAGGTGACCATAAAAGAGGAGAGCTAAGCAGTATGGTTCCTGAAGAAAGAATGAAGACAGAAGCCACTCACAAGGCGATAGCAGCAGGTGGCAAGATGACGGTGGTCCATTCTCCGGTTGGAGTGAGGAGCATCGTGACCTCCTTGGTGGCTTTCTTGATCTTGGCCAGCTCCATCGTCTTCCTCCTTGACAGAGGCCAGGAAGAGCAAGTGCAAATGGCAGTCGAGCATGGACGCCAAGAAGTGCAGGTGAAGCTGGAAGCTGGGCTCCAAGAACCAGCGATCAGAGGGACAACTGAAGAGGGGGACGCCAGCGACGAGGAGTGCAACTGGTCGAGGGGCGGTGGGTGTACGACAACGTGTCCCGCCATTGTACAACGGGCTCAAGTGTGCCTTCATTTTCCCTGAGGTGGCCTGTGACAAATATGGCAGGAAGGATGTCATGTACCAGCACTGGAGATGGCAGCCTCATGGATGTGACCTCCCGAGGTATGATTATTACAGATTTCCCAAGTGTTTTTAGCTCAAGCACAAATATTCCAACATATCCAAAGGTGCAGTTCTTGAACAATAAGCTCTGTCAGTATCAGTCAAGAATTTTCCAAGGGTAGTAAATGTTTTTGTTTTATAGAAGCATAAAAACACTGAGATAATCTGTAACTGAATAAATGCACAGAATAGCACAGCAGAGAGGAAGAAACAACTAGAACTGAGATTGCAAAACTGATCTCACTGGAGTTGTTAGCTGGAGGCCAACAAGAAACTAATTAAACATGCATGGCAACTAATTGACAATGAAAGGTCCTACCTTTTATTTTACCATTTGTACCATTTCCAAAGCTTGTATGTAAGAGTAGAAAGGAGATCAAATTTAGCATAACTTTGCATGGTATTTTTGACATGCTGTCTGAACTTTACCTTTTTTCAAAACAGATTCGATGCCATCAAGCTGCTTGAAAAGCTGAGGAACAAGAGATTGGTGTTTGTGGGTGATTCAGTCAACAGGAACCAATGGGTCTCTCTCGTGTGCATGGTGGAGGCCTCAATACCCGATGACAGGCTCAAGATACGCATCTTCAATGGCTCACTCATCTCCTTCAAGGCATTGGTATGCTTCCCTTCACAAATCTACAGCCTACAGAAACCAACAATTTTATTTGGTTAGCCTGTTTGAACATATAATTATTTTTCAGGAATACAATGCAACAATAGATTTCTACTGGTCACCACTACTGGTGGAGTCTAACAGCGACAACCCCATTATCCACCGGGTGGAGTACCGGATCATAAGGGCAGACAGAATTGAGAAGCATGCCAGTGTCTGGAGGGATGCTGACATCATTGTCTTCAATTCTTACCTGTGGTGGAGGAAGCAGAAGGATGACATGAGGATGAAGGTCATGTAAGTACATTTTCTAACCTTCCTAATCATAGATCATAGGTATTGCACCGTCAGTTTTCAGTATCAGGAAAAAAAAAAGATACCAGAACTGGTAATTAAAATGCACTAACATAGTTACCAAAATGCAATCAGCGAATAGGTAATAAAACTTTTATATATGTGAAGGTATGGCTCATTTGAAGATGGTGATGCAAAGTTAGACGAAATGGAAATGGTCGATGGTTTTGAGATAGCTCTCAAGAAACTAACCGAATGGCTTGGAGAGAATATTGACAAGAACAAGACTAGGATCTTTTTTGCAGGATCATCACCAACACATTCCTGGTGAGAGAGATACCCACAAATCATTTGCAACACAAATAGTACAATACCAACATCTCCATGACATCTAGTGTTCACATATGGTACTTTACTTTCAGGGCTAGCAACTGGGGTGGAGAAGACAAGAACAAATGCCTTAATGAAACAGAGCCGATCTACAAAACCGGATACAAAGCTGCAACTACAGACTACAGCTTGATGGCCACGGCCAAGTCCTATTTCCGAACATTGGAGCCGAAAGGCATACATGTTCAGATACTGAACATCACCGAGCTTTCTGACTACCGGAAGGACGGGCATCCAACGGTGTTCAGGAGACAATTTGTTCCTCTAACGAAAGAGCAAATCGCGGATCCAGCCAGCTACGCAGATTGCACGCATTGGTGCCTCCCCGGAGTTCCTGATGTCTGGAATGAGTTTTTATATGGCTATCTTGTGCATAAATGATGTACAAAATGTCAGGTTTGGTTTACCCCTTATATATAATGTACAAAACGCATACTCATTTAGATTAGGATGCTCTTGTGCAGAGAGTGGTTGGACCTATTACATTTACATGTAGAGACAGATAAAAGGAGAACAGTAAGGATCTGTCTGTGCATCACCTAATGGGATCAGTGTACTATTTGTTTACATCTAACAGAGCAATATGATTTTGTAAATTTCGAAGAAATTTGGCATGGAAAAGAACAACTTAAGAATGATTAGCTGTCCTAGACTCTTAGATGCCCCTGAAATTCAGTTCAATTCAATTCAGTCATACCGGCAGACGGCAAGCAGGCAACAAAAACACATTAAACATTTGAGTGGTGGGTTGTGGGTATAGGTCAAGGAGAGAGGAGCAACCTGAATCTGCTATCGCTGAGCCAGCCAGGCAGCCACAGGTTCCAGTTGTCGCTGGCCCGCCGCACGCAGCAGCCTACAACACCCGCGGAGGGGGCACGACATCATCGCCGCGTGCAGGGACACCCTAGACCGCGCACGCCATGGCCACTGGACGTCCGGACTCCGGACACCCCCGCCGGCGCCGCCGTAGTTATCCAGGCCATGGCCGGGCTACGAGCTGGAAGGCCAGCCCAACCCATGTCAGTAACACTTGCCTGATGTGGCCCGACAACGGCCCAAGTTTGATGGGTCTAAGAGCTCAGAGGCTTCACGTTGCAAAAAGGCAAAATTAGGTCGTGGACACTAAAAAAACAGATAGACTTTGCTGCAACGCATCAAAATTTTTTTTCTTTGTCTAAACACACTAAAACTCTTTGATAATTAGGTCACGGACACTACACCTCTTATTATAATCGTTTTTAATAGAAAGGTACGCCTGCCTATTCTCCTGTTTCCCTGCTACCGAACGGGATGACCAAAACAGATCGGGACTTCCTCGCTGCGCCGCTCCTGCTGCTGCCCCTCCCTACTCCCTCCGTGCGGCCGTTTCCTGCTGCTGCCCCGCCCTGCTCCAGGCGCACGGCCACGCCCTTCGCCAGCGCCCCGAGGCTGGGCCTGTTCCTTCCTGGGCGGCGGTCACGGCGGCGGCGCCCGCTCGTGGCAGGAGATGGAGGAACCTCCTCCACGATTCTTCAGCGACATTTTCCTAGAGAACCACGCCAATCTGTTATGGGTTCCCGATAGGTAAGATTCTTGCGATTTTCCCCTAGGGTTAGGCTAACTGTAGGCTCGATTTTGCAAAGTAAATCGTACCCTTGTTCATCCCATTTATCTTTGTGCCCCAGTGATACGTAGGATGGATCCCAATTGGCCCCCTGAGCTTGCTGCTCGAGTAGGCGCTTATGTCAAATTAACTGATGATGATGGTTGCGAATATTGCAAGGCATGTAACATTCCAAAGATTTTAGACAGGATAGCACAAACTGGAATGATTTGCTTCTTGAATTTGCTACGAGAAATTAAGCTAGGCTCAAAACAAAAACCGCGTGTCACCTATTGGGATAATATGAGTCGTAGCTATAGAGAGATTGTTACGACCAGAAATTGCTTCATGCAATTGACATGTATTGGGATATAAGGAGGCTTTCCGTGCAAGTGCGTGTTATAAGAAAAGACGACGAGGATCACATACATGATATTGGCCTACCGGAGAGCATGCCTTGTGTTTTGCAGAGGAAGCACTGATGCCCTAGCCAACCAAACTATTGCACAACCTTCACTTGAAACTCGACTCATCTCTTGTAGAGCCACCAATTCAAAGAAATTACTGAAGTGGCTTGGGTGGATGATGACGAGAAATGCGTTGGTCCGAATGATGAGGATCCAATTTACGATTTATCGAGCTCGAACGAGATAGTGATGTAGACTATGCTTTGGTTTGGAGGATGAATTAGTTGTTGAGGATGCATGGGGTTGTAAGACAATTCCATGCAACCCGACTTGAGAATCCGAAAATAGAAGTTGGTGTAACTTTTGGGATGGTGATACTTTCAAGAAAGCTATTAGGCAATATGCAATAAAAGGTGAATATGAAATTGTAGCTCCCTATTCTGAGGCAACAAGGTATATATTGCAAAGTTGAGCAGTGCGGTGGCGTATACATGCTTCACAATTGCGAGGATGGAAGGACTTGGGAGGTACTTGTTCTTTTTCTAGATTTTTATACTAATTTTTTTTCTGTATGTTTGTATTGAATTTAATTCTTGCTTGTTTCGGATAAAGAAGATGCCTTATGAACACACTTGTCAAAGCACGGAAAAGTTGAGAAGAACTGCATGGCAACAAATCAATTGGGTCAAGGATTGGGTTCTGGATTGGCTTGCAAAGGACAATAAAATTGGGCCTAAAGAATTAAAGAAAAGGCTAGAGGAGCAAAGATCATCCTGAAGTTGTCATCTTTGGGTAGTTTGGGATGGAAGAAATAAGGCTTTGGAGCAACTCAAAGGGAAGTGGGATGATAGTTTTGAGTGTATTTTCAGGTTTCAAGGCGGAGGTGGAAAGACCAATCTCAGCAGTTTGGTAGACATTGAATATGAGAAAATTGGGAAGAAGATGAGGTTCACTAGAATGTTTGTTGCATTGAAGTCTTGTGTGGATGGATTTCTAAATGGTCTGCAGGCCTTTTCTTGGTGTGGACTCCACTCATTTGATTTGGGAAATGGAAGGGTCAACTTGCATCTGCTATCGCTATTGATGGGAACAATTGGATGTTTCCGGTGTGTCATGGTGTGTTTGGATCGAGACAATGACAATTGGGAATGGTTTTTAGCAGACTTCATCGAGCTATTGGATCACCTCCGTATAGTGATATCAACTCGCGACGAGCAGTAAATGAATTGATTCAAATTGTTACTAAAGTCTTCAAAAATTGGGTTGAGCATAGAGAGTGCATGAGACACTTAGTTGCAAACTTCCAAAAGCGATTTCGGGGTGAAGTCTTTGAGAAGCACTTGTGGCCAAAGATGTAGAGCTTATCAAAGACACGAGTTTGAAGAGCACTACAATCTAATGTATGAAGCATGTCCCAAGCCATGAAGTGGATACATAATACTCATAAGCACCTTTGGACACGACACTTGTTCTCTCAAGCAAGCAAGTGTGACTATGTCACAAATAACATTGTTTGAAACATTCAACAAATTTGGGTTACTGATGAGAAATCCCTTCATGTA